GAAGCTAAACATCTGTTGAAAAAATAGATTAGCATTCTTCTTTCCTTATTTATTTATTTACTTAAATATATTTTCTTTCTATGGCTTTTTGAGCTGTACTTTTTATCACTTTCTACCCTCCTCACATCTTATATGATTTATTAGCAGTGTCTGCAGCTGGAGATGTAAAGAATTGCCATGGCAGACTCATATGTTTCCTCTGAAATCCCAATGGAGATTGAATACGTACAATTATTCACCTCTCTTAAGGTGGTTTCTGCGTGGGTAGTGTATGTTTGCAGCTCTAACATGGCTAATATTTGGTACAACTGTGCATGTTTTCTGAAGGAGTTGCTTTTAAAATTATTCCAGTATTTTCACGTAAGGCTGTTTCATCCTGTTGTGTGCCATCACAGTACTGAGGGGAGAAGGGCATGAATGAATGGGTATGGGGCCGATATAATTAATGCTGCTTTGCCTTAACAAAAATTTGCTGATAAGTCTGACACTCTAATGTGTGGTATGTGTTACAAGCCTGCCAAAATTTCCAGGCAGCTTGAGTGTGCTTAGCCCACTACATTACTACAGAAGCCTTTCTACAGCATGGAGTTATATTTCCTCACACTCAGGTCATTATATGTTGCCTTGATGACTGCACAAAAGGTATGACACTAATGAAAACCAGGGAGATGATAATTCAGGCTAGATTGTACCTACCACAATGTGGTTTATGCATGGCAGCGGGGAAGCTCAGCACACAGAAACATCTAGAAGATGATTAATCCTGGCCATGATGAGTAGTCAAGAAAGAAGAGTGTTACTTGGGGCTCATTCAGGTTTGATCTCTCTAACTCCTGAATCTCTTGTGACTGGCTCTGGATCTGAAACAACCCAAAGTTCTTTGCTAAGGAACAAATCTACTTGTCATAACTCTTCCATACTTTAATCCTCAAATTGACTCAGGAGATTTTATGTCTGCAAGAAGGAGAAAGGGTAACTAGTGTTAAAACAGTGAGAAGAGATGCCAGGGCAGGCTGTGGAGATGGAAAGCACAGATCAAGGGTTCCATTACTGTTTAACACATCATATTTTAATTTCTACCAACTTATTTTATGTTACTGGGAAGGAGAGAGCTCTATAAGCTGAGGTAGATGTTTCATCAGGAAGTGAGAAATTTATTGGAAATAACATCCAAAGACATACTGTCAACAAGGAAGTTTAAAATTTGGTTCTGTAATCGACTGAGTTGCCATTTACTATACTTGATGTGGGAGGTAAATTACAGGAATTACGAATGTCTAAACATGTTTAATGATTGTAGGTTGAGCTGTGCTATTACCAATTCTCTTTTCATATGAACATTATCAACAATGCAAAAAAATAAAATAGATGTCCTGTTACAATAACTGTGCAGGGCAAGTGATTGTTTTCCCTGTAAACTACCCAAGCATATAAAGTATATAGAAAAGAGGTTTCTGTTGTCTTCTACTGTGCTAGCTGTACACTGTAAATGTTTCACAACAAGACTGTGCCTCTGACATGTAGTGTGAGTACATCAGTGCACATACATTTATCCTTTCTGTAAGTTTTTGAGCAGCAGGAAGCAAATGTGATCTTGCTGAGCTCAGAGTCATTTTGGAGATTTAGTCATTCCAAGCTGGTTACAGCAATACTTGTCTTCTACTGGAAGTTATGGGTGCCAGCATCAGCAAGGCAGGAAGATAAGAATGAAGCTTGCTATGCTGCATTCATTTTCCTGGCATCATTTTGGGTGTCTTTATGTTCTTGGACCTCCTTGTAACTCATTCCACTTGCCTTCCTAACTCTTCTAAATGATAAATTTGGATTTTTGTTTTTTGTTTTAGGTTTTGTTTTTGTTTTAGGTAAAAGCCAAATCTGCTTTTTAAGAGCCATACCAATATTTCTAGGCATGAATTAGAAATTGTAGAGATGCATGGAATCTGTGACAGATTTTCTAGTATTCTGGAGGCTTGTGAACATACATCTGTTTTCTTCTGTGTTTAATGTGCTGTCTTTTTACAGATTGGGATGGAAGATGATCTAGTATATCAGAACTCTTATGTTTTTTAAAGAGAAATTTCTCATGTTTCTCTTAAGTGTAAACTAATGTGAGACCAGCCTTTCATCTTGTAACAGAACATGGAAGTATTAAAGAAGAATTAGTAGATTATGAAAAAGGGAAGGAGGAGGGAAGAACACAGGTTAGGAAAGATAAATGTGTTTAACGGCAAACACGTTTGTCCAAAGGAATCATTTCCACTGACCAGAAGCCAATTAAACACATAAAATAGAAATCCAGAAAAACAGATAAACCAGCCAGTCATTAGCAAAGGAGAAGGAAAAATGACAAACCCAGCTAGTTCTGTACTGAGCATGACAGATGAGCTCACAGCAAATAATTGTGTGACATTCATCAAATGTAAACTAAGAGGAGGCATTAGAGGGGATAACACTATCATAATCTCTAGGATTTACAATGCCTGAGATTTTGCTCATCAGGAAAGTTCATCAAAATAAATTAAGTTGGTCCTTCCAAAATTCATTCTCTACCACAATGCTTGCCAAAATTTTATTGAAGGCTTGATCATTTTTTTTGGAACAGTTATAACCTTGGATGTAAATCATGCAAAGATGAAGTTTTGGCTGAGATAATCTTCACGTTACTCCTGCCAACGGAATTTGTGGGTGGCTTCCTATTAACTGGCTCAGAAAGATTACAGACCACAAAGATTTTTATTTCTAAACCTTTGTCAAGGTGACATTGCTAGATAGAGTGCTGAAAGAGAGTGTATCTAATGTACAGTAAATTTGAATGGTGTTTGAATCCTAAAATTTCTGCCTTAAAGAGAATCAAAAAGCATACATTTGCAGTAGTATGAAACTTTTTAACTTGTAATGGGTGTGGCAGATTTGGAATAGAACCTGTTTTTGGCACTGAGCTGGGGAATTTGATCACCCCTTCATCTTGGATTATGGGCTATTTCCTATGTTAATTAATCATTATACCATTCTTGTGAAGTATGTAAACATTCTTATCTGTATCTTAAACCAGAATCAATGCCTATGTTACAGTCCATTAGAAGAGGAAGGTATTGAGCACAGGGACCTAGCCGAGTAGTCGCTGACATATAAATTCCAGTCTTAACTCTGTTACTTACACTGAGCCAGCATTGAAATCACGATTGGTGTAAAATGAGTTGATGTTGCACACTTATCTCAGCTGAGAATGTGGGTCTTCCTCTGCAGGTCAGAAATACTACCAAGAGAATAGGGGATACTGAAATATTCCGTTTTGTTTAGGTAAAATCACCTAGAAGTGATGATACTTTGTGCAGTGTATTCACAGTTGATAGGGAGATACCATTACTGCAGATACTAATTTTGTCCTTTAAGTTGTATTGACTGGGACAGCGTAGTTTGTTCTTTGCTATGAAAACTTGATTTTGATAAGGTAATACTAGATGGGAAAGATATCCTTTCAAAATAACACTACAGCCCTTTCACTATCTTCACACCTGGAGGGCAGAACCCATAGATGCTGCTGTGCCCTTCCGCAATGCGCTCAACCCGCAGTGAGAGTCAAGTGACTCTTGTTCTCTCTCTCCTCCTGTCTTGTTTTGAGACTATAGGCAAATTGCTTTCCATTTTCACTTCTGTCTCACCTTGGCTTTAGCTATATGTTGTCTGTAGTTTCAGTTCACTATATGAGCTTTTTTTCCTGGCTTCGTATGTGGTATATGGCATATTGATTGATTTTTATGTTTTATTTTTTACTTTGGGAGCAATAAATGTGATTGTAATAACATTACAAGTAAGAATGGTAAACAGGCAGAAGGAGAAATCTCTATGTGTGCAGCCTGTCCTATTACAAAACCTTATTTTCTTTCCAGTTCTTCAAGCTGTTAATAGAAAAACCTTATCTTAACTTGATTAGGTACCAAATTTCATGACCAGTGATATAGTGTCCTTCAAATGACAACTTCTCTAGGGAAGAATGCTACTATCTAGAGGTGATATCGTTACTGAGAATATAACTGATGCTATAGAAATATTCCATGTAAGCTCATTCTGAAATATCACTATCAGATAAAAAGGAGTACATCTAGAAAAGAATCTTGGACCTTTGTTAGCTTTACTGGAAACCTCAGAAGCCAACAAATGCATATAATAAATGCTTTGTGTATTGTTCTATCTCAAAAACTGCAAGCGTGCCAGAACAGCAGGATATAGAAAACTCACCAATGTAAGCCTGGTTGTAGCGAGATCTGAAATGGTGCCAAAGAACACCCATGACAAGAGTAAAAGACTAGTGACAAGTTTAAAATCCCATATGTTGCACATTATCAGAGCTAAATTTCATCAATGTATCGATGTATGGCATCTGTATGCAGCCTTTACACCTCATCCATTCCATAATATCACAGACTTGGACATCTATCAGTTTCCCTCACATTCTCATTTAGGGATGATATGATTTCAGAGAAGCTAGCGTTATAGGGACAGAGATCATCTAAGTGCTTAGCTTTTTACGAGAACACTCTGCATTTACTGTTTGTATTAAATAATGCTTGTGTGCAGCTCTCATGTAGTCACTGCAAATGATTGTTAGAAGACAACTGGAGAGACTTTAAGTTACTTGGCCAAGGTAGTTGAGTTGGAACCATGTGATGAAAACCAGGTCATTTTCTTTTTTCCACACAAGACCTTAAACTTCACAATTTTCACTTTTTTTTTTTGTGAGATATCTAATATTAAAGTCATGCTGGAATTGAAGCATAAGAGATAAGCTGTGCCATTGTACTTTCCATTTTAAGTAATAATTGTCCAACCCTCACAAGTCTGGGATTTCTTTGATGGAGTTTTACAGAGGCTTTCAGGGACAGCTGTGCAGGTCATAGAAAAGATATCTGAAAAAAAAAATAGTTGTTAAACCCTCTTAGAGGTGTCAGCACAGGGTGTCTCACAAGGGCCATCACTCACTTTCTTTGATGTTTCCACAGGTGACAGCTGGTGGAAGAGCAAATTACTATGTGTCATACAGACGGGAGCCTTTTGCACAGATTAAATTGCCCAAATACTCTCTTCCTAAGGTGAGTGCACCATTTATGAACACAAACAAATAATACCTTTAATAGCATAGCCTGCCCAGTGGTAAAGCATCTCAGCGGAGTTCTTCTCTGGGGAACTACATCTGTTGTGCTTCCTGAATGATCTTTCTTAAATATGAAGTTAGGATCTTTATCTGCCTTTGATCTGTGAGTATTTCAGAAAAAGCAGATTCCTTTTTCCACTGTAAAGAGCAAATGGGAATGAAAAGTACCTCAGAAAATAGACAGGCGGAACCAGCTCCTCCTGGACAGATCTGCTATGAACTGTTTTCTCCAGTCTTGTCTTACTTTCTACTAAAGATTTCTCTGGTAAGCCTTTCCATAGCACTGGGGGTACTGGAAAATGCTTAGAATGATGAGTACTACTGCAATCTCCTTAATGTGTTCCATAGAGTACAAGACACAGCAGATCCACTGTCCACATCCCATGTTTGGAAATTGTCAATAAATCATGGAAAAAAAAATGACTGCCTTAGTAGTGATACTTTGGATGCATAAAAGCACTGTATGATGTTGCTTATGAGATGAGTCAGACGGCAGTGCCAAAGATGAGCAATTACTGGCAAAGCTGGGAAGGAGGGAAGCTAGTATTTCTCATACAACTGTGCTGGCTTTCCTCACTTAGGGTTTAGCTATCTACCAGATGGAATGTGTCAAACCTCAGCAAGAATACATCCCTGAAATGATACTCAAATTCCCTAGTGCAGTCCTTGCTTAGGATTGTGCAGACCAGAAGGGACCAACCTTAATGCTGCTTTGACTGATACAAGTTTCTAGGTAGCTCAGACCATTCCTGCACTTTGTAACTACAGAATGGCTATTGGGACTACTGTTGTATAGGACTGATACAGCAGTAATGACCTTCCCCTTTATTCCGTAAGTGAAAATTTTTGTGTGGTAACTCTGTAATTGTTGCACAGAGTTGAATGGTGCTGTGGATATTGCCAATCATGTATCTACAGTCTAGCATATACTGGATTCTTGCTTCAGCTAGTAGCTGTGAACTTTTACTAGCTGTAAGAAATTTGTATATTGAACTCCTGGTACTGTACCTTGACTTCTTCACATTTGGGTTGAGGATAGTTCACGGTGTACTAATACTTGTATAGCACAAATATAGTTTATTTTCTTTGTCCTTCTCTGCTATTGTCAAATATCTGACCAGTTTTGGAAACACCGCTGCCTTTTTCATGAGAAAAGTGGTACTTATGCTTTCAACTTACTGAGTATTGAAAGTTGCCCATTAATAACAAGACAAGTGAATGGAGAGAATGAGTGCCCTGTGACTGTCCTGACTGACACTGTCATAGGTTGCTGGCCTGCTATGAAATGGGTTTTTTGGTGGCCTTGGTTTTATAACAGATGCGTAGTAAAAAAATCTGTATTGTTTTTATTATTTAAAAATCAAAACTATTTTTAAGTAAGATTTCATGGCAAAGTCATTTAGCCATGTAAAGGAAGTCATTTATGTTTCCCTTAGTCATCAGAAAACTTTTGCTGCACTGTAAAAACTCTCCTATTAGTTGTACATTAGTGAGTTCTGCCTGAGTTATGCATTTGTGAGGTTGTAATGGGGTAATGCAGTAATTCCGCTGCAACTGATCAAAACAGATTGAAGTCATTGAGAGATTTGCTTTATTTTCATGCTGCTAGACTAGACTGCATATGTGTTTAGTCTGCAAGGAATTAGAACTGTTGTGCAAGATCCAAACATTGATCAGGATTCCTTGGCATCCTGGGATGAATTTATAGATAAGTGAAGTCCCACATAGCCGTTGTGCATCTGATTCTAGTGGATCCAGTGTTAGTTCATTCAGCAAGGATGGCAAGGATGAAGTTCTTATCATAGAATCACTAAGGTTGGATAAGACCCACAGGATCATCCAGTCCAACCATTCATCCATCACCAATGGTTCTTGCTAAACCATGTCCCTTAACACAACATCCAAATGTTCCTTGAACACCTCCAGGGTTGATGACTCCACCACCTCTCTGGGCAGCCCATTCCAGTGCTCGACCACTCTTTCAGAGAAGTAGTATTTCCTAACGTCCAGCCTGAACCTGGACCAGTAAGGTCTCCCCTGAGCCTCCTCTTCTCCAGACTGAACAATCCCAGCTCCCTCAGTCGCTCCTCGTAAGACCTGTGCTCCAGACCCCTCACCAGCTTTGTTGCCCTTCTCTGAACACACTCCAGGGCCTTGATGTCTTTCTTACAGCGAGGGGCCCAAAACTGGACACAGTACTCAAGGTGCAGCCTCACCAGTGCTGAGTACAGGGGGACAATTACTTCCCTGTTCCTGCTGGTCAAACTATTTCTGATACAAGCCAGGATGCCATTGGCCTTCTTGCCACCTCAGCACACTGCTGGCTCATGTTCAGTCTAGCATCAATCAACACCCTCAGGTCCATTTCCTCTACACAGTCTTCCAGCCACTCTGCCCCAAGCCTGTAGCATTGCCTGGGGTTATTGTGGCCAAAGTGCAGGACCCGGCATTTGGTCTTGTTGAATCTCATTCCATTATCACTACACTGAAAATCATTTCCAGGTTGTGAAGTTGCTTTAAGGAAATACTGAGGAAATGCACTCTCAAATCTTTGATATTAAAACTAAATGGAGAAAGCTTCCAGTGGAGCACTTGAACAGACTGCCCGGAGAGGTGATAGATGTCCTGTCCCTGGAGACATCAAGGTCAGGCTGGATCAGGCTCTGAGCACTTGATCAGTCTGTAGGTGTCCCTGTTCATTGCAGGGGGGTTGGACCAGATGGCCTCTAATGGTTCCTTTCAACTCAAACAATTCTGTGATTCTAAAATGTTGTTGGACCATGCCCTGATCATTGGAAGGAATCCAGCAAAGGTTGATGGGTGGTCTGGTGGTTTGGTAGTCACTATTGGACAAACATTCCATAGATAATTATGTTATTAAAAATCACTACCAACACGATCTTAAACTCCTTATGCCTTAACTTCAAGAATATGTAAACTCACTTTATTGTTGTTTTTTTAAAACTAATTCTTTTCCTGTTGGAAACAAAGTCTGTTAGGTAAGCACGTGGATGAAAATTGTCTCTTTTTTAGCTACAGTGAATCTACTGACTGTGGAAGAACTCCTGGCTCCAAGACTGAATCTTCCGTGAATGATAAAACTCACTTTCAAATTTATAAATAAAAAATGAAGCTAGATGAAATTCCTTGAAGCTACCAAAAATGAAGAAAGCAAAAACCCTTTGCCCACCTGGTGGTCATTAAAAAAAAAAATGCAGAAAAGTCACAATGGTGATAATTTATTGGCTTCCTCTAACAGAAAATTGTTTAACTTACCTATAATTCACACTCCATCTCCATTCTTCCATAAGTCATGGTAATTATTATATGTCTCAAAGGGCAAAGAAATATAGAGGTCCTAGTAATAGGTCTTTTTTCTTCTTTGAACAGGACATGCATATTATAAGCACAGCTGAGAATCAGGTATTTGCAGCTGTTCAAGAGTGGAACCAGAATGATACATACAACCTGTATGTTTCGGACACCCGAGGGGTTTACTTCACTCTGGCTTTGGAAAATGTGAAAAGCAGTAGAGGACTGGAGGGGAATGTCATGATTGACCTTTATGAGGTATGTAGTAAAGGTCATCCTACAAGAACTACAACTGTTCAGACAAGTGTAAATCACTTACCATCCTCCCAACATCTTCATTTGTTTTGGAATCAGCCCAGAGGCACTTACTGAATTTGATGCTAAGCTTACTCATGTGGGGATAGATGCAAAGTATTCTGCTATGCAGATGATAATTGTTGTGGGTTTTTTTTTTTCTTCAAGTGAATGTCTAGTTATGCTGTGTAACATTTCCAAAAGGGAAGACTGTTGTCCCTTTCATTCTAATCTAGATGTCTAGAAAAGGTCTAGAAATACAGGTGTTCTCCTTGGATAGCTAGAGACATCTGGTCACAGGCAGGGAATATAAATTCCACCTTTGTAAGCAGTAATCAGTTCGTGAATTGTAAACAAAAGCTTATGGGTATCATTTGTTTAGAGATAACAAATAACGTTTACCCTTAGTGATCTTCTGTTCTCATTCTATTGCTAGGCCTTTCAGCTGTGGCCAAGAATAGTCCATTCAAAGTAATTGCTCCAGTTACTGGTTTAGTCAAAGTATCTTGGCTTTGGTGGATTGATCTTACTGGCTGAAAGATCTGTTGAGGTTCAGAGCTCAGTGCTCTGCCAGCAAGAAACAGCAATATTAATTTACTGGTAATACTAATAGTGGTTGCAAAGTAACTTGAGAAAGTTTTGCTATAACACTGAGAAATGTGTTTCCAGTTTCACATATAAGTCAGGATTATATAAAAATTTATTTCAGCCAGAATAATGCCAAGGTTAAACAACATCATGAATTTGTTTATAAAAATCCAATTGGTTTAAGGCAGTGAGGAAAAACTCACAAGTAATGCATGGATCATTACAAAAGACAGGCTTTAAATGTTATTCTTGCTTACTTAAATATATTTTCCTGCCTTTGAAAAAATATGTACTTCTATACTGTAATGAGCCAGCTGAAGTAAACATGCATTATCTCCTATTTCTGGGCAAAGTCAGTACTCTCCACTTGTGTACTAGTTTTTATTGATAAATGCCAATGGAGATTTTCATGGGGTCTTTCCAAGGGTAGTGTCACTCAAGGGCCTTTAGAGCTGGAAGGATTTGCATCCTGGCTCTTGCCAGGAAGTTCCAGATTTGCAGTAAGATCCTCCTTCCTGTCTCACTTTCAGAGCTGTGCAATAGAGACCAAACAACATGAAATCTGCTTAGGAACATTTTGGCAGGACTGCTTTCTGTTGGAATTGATTCTGCTGACAAAAATCAAAACATTTGGAACAACTGGGTTGATTTTGACAGAATTTGGGAATGGAGGAACATCAAGTTTGCAAAACATCAGTGTTTAGATATATTCAGGTTTTCCTGAATTCTGAAGAAAGAAAAAATGAAAAAAAAAAAGAAAAAGCCTGAAACAAACAGATCCCATCTGCTTCTGGTGTGACCTGCTGCCTTTCATGTTACGGAAATCTGATGAGGGAGTGAAGTGGACCACATCTTCAGGATTACAGACCTAATGTGAGAGGTGGTTAATGCTGTCCTTTCAAGCCCACCACTTACCTGTCTGCAGCCATTTAGGGAAATCCGTAAGTGGATTGTTTGATAGGGATTTGCTCTATGAGTACACTTGTCTTTTTTTTAAAGAGAAAGGAATGGCACAAGGCCTTTTCAGCTGTGTAGGGAGAATCAAGATGTACTTGTAATGTCATTCACAACCTTCTAAGGCTGGACTGAGATGACTTTATTGCTTTTGCGGAGAGTTTTTGCTTCTGAGAGTGCTCAGATGGGCCTTTCCATTGGGCTGTTTTTCCGATGTATTTTTTTCATCTCTCTCCATTTTTCCTAGGTAGCAGGGATCAAAGGCATATTCCTGGCTAACAAAAAGATAGATGACCAAGTCAAGACATTCATTACGTACAACAAGGGCAGAGATTGGCGTTTGCTGAAGGCACCAGACACCAATCTGAGAGGCGATCCTGTAGTTTGCCAGCTGGTGAGTGGCAGACCTTTTCAAAGGTCTCAAAAAGCTGACTCCTTTTGAGGCTTTTACATAAGTCACTGGGTTAAAAAAGCTTCAAATGAAGCTGAATAGCAGGGATTCTTGCCTCAGAGAACTGCAGAGTCAGGTGCTCTGCAGTGGGGCACAGTTTACAGATGAGAGCTTTAGGTGGGATTCACAACAGAGTTCAACATCATTCAGTGAACAGTTACGTTACTGAAGACTGTAGACCCTGCATTTCATAGGAGTGGTGTTTTACTGGTGACTTCCTCTGTGTGTTTTCCTCCTGATTTGCTAGGTGTTAAGAGAGTTCCCTTAAGTATGTTGCCCTTAAATTGTGTGAAGCTATACAAATAGAAAATTTTCACCATCTTGCTTCAATTTTTTTAAATGAAACTTAAATTAGAATATAAAAGTTTTTAGTAGAAAGTGCTCTAGATCGGATTGATGGTAAAAACAAATGCAGGTATGCTCATTTCTTTTTCATGCTCTCAGCTACTTCTATGGTGCTTATTCAAAAAAATGAACATATACTTGTAACAGTGCTAAGAGTAGAGGGGTCATTTTCAGGAGGGCTGGAGCATCTGTCTTCAGTCAACAAGGGTTTCTCTTTTATGTGACTTATTGAATGTTGAAACTTGTGTCTTTTGTTTGTTTCCTGTCAACAGCCCTTTTGCTCACTGCACTTGCATCTGCAACTCTCAGAGAATCCATATACTTCAGGAAGCATTTCCAGTAAGGAAACAGCCCCTGGGCTGATGGTGGCAGCAGGTAAGAACTTATGTGCTTCTCAGTGCTCACCCATGTTTCCTTTGGAGTCTGAGTGTGTTTTGAGAGTTTTGGTGTTGATGTAAAACTTTTTAGCTTTGTTTCAGGTAGTGCTAAGCTAGTTCAAATTAACTCCTACCTGCTGTGGACTAGGAGAGAACAAGTGGCCCCTTACTTCAACAAATGTAATGTCTGGCAGGTACTTGTTGCTGAGCAATAACCCATGAGCAGGTCTAAGCCCAAATCTCTGTGGGATCATTACCAATTCTCATTATTAACTCCTCTTGCTTGACAACTTACAATCACTATTGTATGTATAACCCATTTACTGAAGTTAACAATGAATGAGAGTAGGGCTGAAGTTAAATATGAATGAGAACTGAGGGCTATGGTCCCAGGCAGTATCAACAAGTTCTACCTATTGAGTAACAAGCAGAGAGCTGTCTCCAAAGCCTGCTGGATGAAGCCTGGACTTCATGAATGCCTGTCTTGTGTGTGGCACCTACTTTCTATGCGGTGTTGCTCCAAGATTGGCAGCATTTCATCAGGACTTTATGGGTCATTGTTGCTGTGCATCATTTTGCAAAATGGTGCTTTAGCAGGTTTCAGTGTTTTAATGACAATCTGCTACAATACTTGCACAGTGATAATGGCTGACCCACTCTAATTAATCTGACAACCATCATGGGTGCTTTTGTCCTCTATTGCCTAAATACAGTGTGCAGCCTAGTCAGGATAGGTCGAGATCTCAACCGCGCTCAGAGCTCCCACAGCTCAGTGGAAGCTGCTAGGGTAACAAAGTGCTCGCTAAGTGGCTGTTGCTATTGAAAACTGGCTTCTGAAGCAAGTAGGCTGTCCTGTCTTTTCTCAGGGATGTTCCTATGTAAATTCAAATATATTTAAGTAACTTAACTGTTCTTTCCAACGCTCATTTTAACTTGATCTCTTTGTCACTGTATCTCCTTTATTCAGCTCATTACTGGCTTGCAATTCTGTCATTTTAGCATACTGCCTATATGAATTTACGCTGTTTCTTACAGCCATTTCCCTTTGCCTGTTCTTCTGTATTTCCATGTGTCTGCTGGACTAAGCCAAAACCTAAAAGACAGGTTCCCTTCATGGCATTTATAGCTCCACAAGGGAAATACTGTGTGATTTCCAGTTCACCGATCCAGGCTAAACAGGGCGAGATAATTTGGTTTAAACCTCCAGATCTTCTTATGCTTAGCCAAGTGGAGTCATCACTCCTGGCAGGCCACACTTGCTAGATGGATGTGTAGGAGCAAGCCTACTCAGGATGCTGTGATTACAGACTTATTTTTCTTTATCCTTTTAGGAAACAAATAGAGGAAGTTGAACAGTTTGATTCTAGGCATTGATCAACACTGTTAGTAAATGTGGTTCTTTTCAAGCTGATAGTGGATGGGATGAATGCTTTCCCAGTCTAACAATTAACCTTTAAGAGGCAGAATATAATTTCTGCCTTATTGTTTTGTACAATAAGGAACTTTAACCTCTTGGGAATATACACATCTGTTTCCACAAACTAGTTTCACAGTAACAGGAGTATTTCAACATGGTAGCAAATATGTTTGAGAATAAGCACTGCTCAAACTCTCTGTCAAGCAATGTCTTACTATATGATTTACAGTGGTGCATTTCCTGCAATGACTGGAAACTCTTAATAGAGTTCAGATTCTTGCAGAAGGAAGACTTATGTTTTAATATCTAATTCTACAGCTGTCAAATCTCCTTCACTTGTCTGGGAATTAGTTATGTTTTGTAGGGTTTGAATCCATATAACTGAATGAAGCTAGATGGAAAGAATGAAGAAAATTATGGAAAAGCTTAACACAGAAGAAGAAAGGAAGAAGTGACATCAACAGAGCCTCACCATGTTACTCTTTTCCTGCCACAATTTGGAAATTCGTGTTTGGAATGTTCATCTTCCAGTTTTGATATTTAAAAGATCACTGTACAATATTTTCACTTCTGTATTTAAGCTGGCAGATAATTCTTGATCACTTCCACTCATGATAACACACTGGGCTAAAGAGACATTTGAACCACTGTAAATTTGTTCCTGTGAACCTTGATGTCCCTAAAGACTGACCTTTCATATGATTTATCATGGTAGAGTTTTCTTGTACCTTCATCTACAATAGTTTGTCATTTTTGCTGGTGTCAGGAAGGAAGATTAGGTAGATAGGCAAAGTATCATTTTCTATATGTGAGCACTAATAGAAAAGTCATTCTTGAATTACCCTTTTCCTCCCAGAGCTAGAAGTTTCATTTTTGGAAATATTGTTGTCACAACAATAGAGCTAGCTGGATTCCATGATGCTTTTGGGAATGTGTCAACCCACAGATGGGTTTTAATTTCTCATTTTCCAGCATTAAATGTCAGAAATTCAATTAACATTTTCATTAGGGTGTTTTTATTATGCTCTTGTTGATGCTACAGATGTGATGCTGCAGTGCTATCCTTCCCTTTGCTATTTTTGAAGAAAAAATATTAGTTTTTCCTTCTTTTCATTGAAATCACAATTGTTTTAAAACCAATCTTTCTTGGAAGGTATACGAGTGGCTCAGTGTTTGAAAGAATTATGGATTTGACCACAATGCGATGGCTGTTGGCCATTATGACTGGGAGACTTTCTGGTAGAGTATGTCAGTGCTACATCTGCCTGCTTCCTGTGGGACAGATTTTCATATAATCAGAATCCCACCTAGCACTGACGGAAGATGTTGTTGACAGGCTATCAGGAAAAACAGGGTGACTGTGGTAGCTTTTCTGTTAACCACTGGCTGCTTTGGGAAGCTGGGAGGTCTAAGTGAACTAACTTAGAACAGGCCTAAATTCATTATTTGGTGAATCCTAGTGCTTGTAGACACTTTAATTCTGGAAACAGAACCAAGAGGCTGACCTCAGGGTAATGTGGGGATAAGCAAATGAGGTTTGTTCAGACCATTTGCAAGTTTTTCAGCTATCACTTGTGATACTTACCACATCACTTGTGGAATTTTCAGAGGACGCTCAAAATTCTAGAGGACTGAGGATTTAGTACAAATTCATTATGTACTCTGCATTAAGATGTATCGCTGTGAGAGATGAGGTTCTGTCTGCCTCTCAGATGAAGTACCTTTGAAAGAATCTGTTTCAAACTCTGAGGTGGCATCTCCAAAGGATGTTTTGCAGGGCTGTCTGTATAGACGGTTCAGGCTGATGTTTGAGCTTTGCATTGTTTTGATATGTGGCATATCCATTTCCTAACACCTGGTGAAGGCTGGGTATTTCACTCTGTAAAACTGTCTGTAGAACACACCATCATAATGGAAATTACAAGATTAAAATTAAGAACCCTACAATTTGTTAGGTCAATGAGAATGATCAGCATTCTCACAGAATGGTGCTTAGGCTGGTTTCTACCTCTGCTAATTTATTTTTTTTTACCCAGTTTAGTTTTCTGCACTGCTTCTGTCCTTGGCTGAGTTTCAGACCTAAACAATCAAGATTTCCTTTAAAGAGAACTGACATTTCATTATGCCCCAGTCCTCATTAATCGCAAGCCATCAGCAGACCCAGGAAGAAGCTTTGTTTGTTGAACTGCAGATTCTGAGATTCATTAAGTATTTTAACAGAATCGCAAATGGGCTTCCACGGCCCGTAATCATGAACTTCAGCAGGGGCCTAATTTTCACTTTTGAACTCAGTTGTGTAAGTAACTTGCCTTTGGATGCTGTCCTTTACACAAGAAGAGGAGAGAGACAGACATTACATTACGCATGATGAAGATTGGTGGATTACAGAGATCCAACTTGCTAGCCAGAGTGCAGAGATTAAAAGTTCAGAGAAAAATGTGTGTGCAGTGGAATATCTGGTGGCCAGGGTCCTTAGCCACTATTCGACTGCTACTCTGATTTATGTGCGCCAAATGGGTGTGTGATTTCATTTGCAGTTTTGTGTTCATCCATACAAGAATTTCTGACACTCGTCTGTTTTGCAGGCAATATTGGCTCTGAGCTTTCCTACACTGATGTTGGCATGTTCATCTCTTCTGATGGTGGGAATTCCTGGAGGCAGGTATGATTTGCAGAGGGAAAGAATAGAGCCTTTTGCTATTCTTAGTCTTCCTTTTCTGGTGGAGCGGAACACTCATGCAGTATTTGCTTTGTTTGCAGATCTTCGAGGAGGAGTATAACGTGTGGTTTCTGGACTGGGGAGGGGCTCTAGTGGCTCTGAAACACACATCAATGCCCATCCGACACTTGTGGTAAGGAAACTCGTTATTTTGACAAGTTTTCCTGATGGGTGTGAGACAGTGGTGCTATTACCTCTTGGTCAGTGTCTTCTGGTGCCTACAAAATGAGCAAATTAGATTATTCTTATAAATGTTTTAATGTTACTTTGTTTTTATTGATTAATACTATGATTATCATGCATATATAAATATAATGGCTATATACATAATTATATATATTAATTACTCTTAGCACTAAAACATTCTACGATGGTTCAGATGGGGCTTATTTATGCTAATAGATACTTATGTAATAAGAAGCCAGGCTTTGTTCTCCAAATATTTCAGAGGATGTCTCCATCACTTCTGTCTTCTGTTTGCAAAAGTTAGAATTCAAATGCCCTTTCCAAATTAAGATATGTTGCTGAACGTTACTGATTCCTAAAGGATTTCACATTTGTTTTACCATAAGCAAACTTGTAGCAGTAATAATGTATGAATAACGATTCTGAGTCAGGACCACTAAGCTAGTCAGTCTAGGCCACCATCCCCTTGCCAATAGTCTCCATAATTGGGACATATACAGGAGAATTGTAACAGGGTAGACCTCTAATGATGCTCTCAGCAGACTAAAGCTATTTTCTGCTCAAGATCTTTCTGTCTGTGGTTAGTGTGTGGTTTTGTGTGACTAGGAACATTTGCCTGTGCTAGGTAATTTGGTAATCATGGCCATACTTGAAGTTCCTTCAGGAAAGAGGACATCATGAAGACCAGGTCCAAGCCTTTAAACCAAGTCAAGCAGAAGCCAAGGCAGGAGAGTGTTATGTATTAGCCAAGGGTAGAAGTCACCAGCAGTAGGTACATCAGGCTGTGGCAAGTTGAGCTCTGGAAGAGTGAAACGTGAGCCACTCTTTGAAAGAGTTCTGAGGCATGTATTAACCATTTATAGCTAAATTCTTCAACCAAGGTGTAACTGTTTTAATTGTCTTTTCCTGTGGAGGTTCTTTGGATCTAACAAGTGCACTATGTGTACAAGCATGTACTTAGATTTCAGGAAAGATTTTGGTCACAGGTGAACTTTGCATAGGAGCTAAGAACCCAATTCACCTTTGTCTGCCTTGGAAAGTTTCCTTTCAGATTTCTTCCTCTCCACCTAATCTCGTGAAATGCTGCGTGCAGTATATTTGCTTTATATTGCCTCAGTAGGCACCCATTTTATGAACAGGAGCGGAATAAATTAAAGGGTATATGTATATCTATTAGTTCTCAGACTGAGACATTGTACAATAAGTTTCATCCTAGAGAAAAGAGGTGCAGATAATTGAAAAGCTGAGAGAACTTTAGCTAACCTAATGAAGTGTGCTGTTCCCCAGAAATTGAAATGCTATTTAGATAGATAAGCATGCAGGCAGAACAGCATACAAATGCACAGGTGTACAGGAAGATACATACATTTAAATAAATAGATTTGAGACAGATAAGCTTTTTGTATGCTGCTGTTCTTCCAGCTTTCTGTCTTTGGTGTATAGTCAGCTTCCCTTTCTGGCAGATGTGCATCGTGAATTGGGTGAAGGTTTTATTAAGTGCTACTAGAGGTAGTCATTTAGGGAATGGTGACTGCACTTGGCTTTCTACATTATTTAGCTCAGGTTAGTGTAACCTGTTGTTTGCACTGGCCTCCCAGTCCTTAGATGGTATCTCTGTGTCCCTGATGCTGCCTACTTGGAGTGAGTAGGGCTTAGTTTCCAGTAGGACCTTCTCATGCAAATCCACCTACTCAGGTACATGCACCCCTAAACTTTCCTTGCCTGGAAAATAAGGCAAAATTCTGTTTTATACTCACTTTAAAATGGGAAGTGTTTCCTGCTGCTTGGAGAAGATGTTTAGGCCATGATTGTCTCCTGGTAATGTCCTTTAAAGTAATCTGCCAGTTTTCACAGCTCAGGTACTTTCGAAAATTGCAGAGAACTCTTAAATGACTGTGCTGGGAGAGATCAAATAATTTCAGAGCCAATAAACCTCTGTGTTTCTCTGTTTATTCTCCCTTTACCAGTAGAACTTGGGGATAAAATTCTGGGCAGATATTTGCAGAAGCAATTGTATGAAGCCTTGGGTAGAGGGAAACCTCACAGATCTCAGAGTTGTTGTTGGATGGCACTTCTAGGAGCTGGATGTTTAAAGCCAGGCTAATAGTCAGATACAATGGGCAGTATGCATACCTTGCTCTGACTGCTTTCTGCATTCTCTGGAACAGGGCAACATGAATGCAGTTCCCCTAAGACCAGGAAGACAGGAGCAAAAGGGATAACAGGGACAGGACCTTTGAACTGGGACCTGTCCCCACAAATTAGCCCTGGGTACTGGGCACCTTTCTTGGAATAGGGGTAACTATGGATAGGGATAGAGAGATTGTAGCTAATGCCATTGCTACTCACATAGGCTGAAAAATCCTATGATACTGACAACAATTTTTATGCATTCAGACAAGGGCTGCTTATGCACTCAGCCCTTCCCCATGCTAGGTGCTCTTGTAGATCCAGAAACAGGACTTGGCAATGCCCCTTTATCCTCTGAGGTCTGATGTACGGCAGGACCAAAAATATCCATACTCTTATTGCTAGTGTTTATAAGTTTTTGATCATTCAGAATACACCAAGAATGTGAATTAGGTGGCTAGGAGATTGGTGCCTGTCTATAAATCTAGCTGCTGGGTCTTGCAGACCTCAGCCAGCATTCACTTGCCATGGTTGCTCTAAAGTAAGTCTTTTACATGTATGAATTTTGTCTGCTTCTATCCCAGGGTGAGTTTTGATGAGGGAAGGTCCTGGAGTAAATACAGTTTCACATCAACACCTCTTTTTGTGGATGGATCCCTTGTAGATCCTGGCATAGAGACTCAGATAATGACGTAAGTATAGCAGCTCTTAACTTTCTTAAAATGTGGTGCAAGGAGTGCATGGTGAGCCTCTCTGCTGTGCAGTGTAGCATTGTGTAGCTGCGCATGTAGTATTGCATGAATGCATGGTGTTGATTTGTGTATTATTTTGATGACCGCAGACTCGGGTGCAGTGTCCATGTATCTCACGTGGCAAACAGATGATGTATTGAAACTTCTCCCAGTAGGAACAGAGAAGTAGGACAAGGAGAGGTGGTCCCTGATCCCAGGCTGTGACTTGTGAGTTCAGATGTGACAGAAGGAAAATCTACTTCTTGTTAGGGTGACATAGTTGTGGTCAGGTTGCTGAGAATTTGTGTTATCAACTCTGGTTGTTTTCAAGCCTTGACTTAGATGAAGCTGCATCTGCTCTGATATGTAGATAGTGACAATCTTGGAGTATGAACTACTTACATCCAGTGATCCCTTCTTGCAAAGACTGCTTTGACACTGTTCCTTAGATCTAATGGCCCAGGGACTGTAATGTCTTCAGAAGCCAGTGATGTAGATGGTTGTACCTAACATCAGTTCTGTGCTTATTCCAGATGTGCTGTTTCACTCTTGTTTGAGTTTGCTGCTGGATATGAATAGTCCTTAGCTTTGTTGCTTACTATCTGCATTGTGGGTTTTACATCTGATTTTAGCTCAAGATAAAGGCTTTCTCAGTGTGCAGATGCAAAGCTGAATTCAGAGTAACCTTCCTGAATGGAGATATAATATAATACTATGATCTACCGATGCTTTGGGAAGAGGAGCCTGGGCTGGTACCGAAGGTGCTTGGACCTTCCTCCTCCCAACAGTACTGTAGCACTAGATAAGGGTGAAGAGATCCTGGTCCCAAGAGCTGGCAAGGTTCTGAATTTAACAGTAAAGGGAGAGGGGAAACTTTTAAAGTTCAAAGGCACCTCAAAGAGTCATCTGACTTCTCTTGCAAAGCTGATCAGAAAATTCTGCTCTGGAATTCCTAACAAAGCAAGGACCAGATGCGCTGCCTTTCTTACAGAGATGCCTTCTTTACCTGTGTTTTATCTAGGCTGAATGGAATAGATTTCTGAAAAGGATCAGAAAGCAAACTGGCTAGCAAGCTGTATTTAGACCGAAGCATACCTGCAAAGCATATCTGCTGTGTCATGACGAAGTGCCCTTGGTTAATCAGACATCAGACATTATTGCATGTCTGGTATTATGTCATTCCTGACCCAATTCAGGGATGGGAAACGTAGGATAAATTTCATCTTTTGTTTATTCTGCTTTCTGCACCTTATACTGCAAAGTGATTTTCTATAGTTGCCGTAGGAAAGAGAAGCAGACCTGGTATGTTTTCTTCTAGGCTCCAGTCCATCTGCTTACTTAGCGTGGCAGGAAAACGTAGGTGGATCTCATTGCTGTTGTCACAGGTAGTGACAGACTGAGAGTAGACTTCTGTGTATGCTTGTCAGCAGTTTCTTAAGAAAGCTTGGTTAAGATAACAGTTGTCTTGGGCATTTCTGCTACTGAACTGAATTTGTTCCAACTGGGTTGTGTGATTTGTGTTGGTATGCATTTCAAAAAATTGACGTATACCAGCCTTACAAGAACAGAAGTGACTGTGAATGGTTTAATGGTTTATTTACATGGAATCTGGGAGCATCACCTTTGCTGAAGGTGACTGGGGGAAAACATAGCAAAAGGTCATTTGAGCTGACTTTTTTTGGCTATCTATGTCAAGACAAGTGACATGTCATGGTGCTGTATTTCTGGATAGCTAGAGGATTGGGAAGTTGTAGCTAACTCTAGGTCATCTTCATCTTCTGTTCTGAACTGTCCTAGGGAAGCTGGGGTAAGTAATTATGGTTATAATTTGTGCCCATAAAACATAGGAGTGGCACTCTTAAGGGACTTGGAGTTTGTTTTCCAAACAGTGCTGGGGCAGCACAGTGCAGCCCCCATGCTTCCACTGCTGACAATTATTAATACTGGGGTAAAGGTTGTATCATGTTTGGTAGGAATGCTAGTTCTTTTCTTTCCTCCAAACCATGCCTTGGCTTCAGCTTTTTCTTCACTGAATAGGAGAACTTGTTTAGAAGGTAGTGTATAGAAGACTATATATCTGTACATCTGCTGCTTCACAGTCGGAAATATTGCCAAGAACAAAACACAACAACATATCGTATACCTGTGAACCTTTTCACAAGACTGCTCTGAAGCATTTTATTGGGAATATGCATGCAAATCCCTGACTAAAGATAAGAGCCTGCATTCTGTTCAGTCCACATTTTTTTCCAAATACAGCAATAATGTTCAGCCTTCTGTGCTGGCTAATGTGGTGGTTTTCCATGACATTCTTCATGCACTGCAGGATGGGTGACACTTTCCAACTGTGCATGCAGCCAGGTCTGAGCTCAAATAAATCTGCACATCAGCAACTTCATTGCAATCAATGGAGCTAATCAGTTTCAGCTAGCTATGGATTTAGCCCATTTACTTTATAAATCAGTGTGGTTTTATTTTGAAGTGGAAGATGCATTTTATACCTAAGGTTATTGTTTCTTGTATCTTCATAGTCTTCTGATGGGGAATGTAGATTGTGTTATCTTGCTAAATACTGCATTGGCTTCTGACTTCTGAGATCTTTGCTGTCATTTTATTATTATGATTGGTCATCATTAAAAACTTTAAAAATTTTTCCTAGGAATCCATAAAAGTCATAAAAAAGTAATTTCCCATTAAAATTGCCACAAATATTTAAAATAATTCTGGTCCACAGTGTTAAAGGAACTCACTTCGAAAACAGTCCATCGTTAAAGCTTATCTGAAAATCACACCTATTCCAGTTGCTTAAGTATTTATCACAGTGAGTATTTCAGTTAACAAATATGTAAGGATAGTGTAGAATCAAGCTGAGCTTGTAGAAGCTTTGACTAAGAAGAAATTGATGCTTATCTATTGCTACTGGCCATCCTTTAAGTCAGAATGTGCTACGCAACCCTTCGTGTTTAAAGATACATGGAATTTGCATTTGCAGGTAGAGATCAGAGTGATATCAAGAAGTGATGGTGCAGCACAATGGTTTGTAATCAACGTCCTCTAATCAAGGACCAGATCATTGTGAACTGTTAAAGTAGAAGCAGAGTGGATGTATAAGTGACGACTGTGGTCATATTAGAGTACTGCCAAACTGAATAGTTGGCTTTTAAGGGTTTGTCTCTCATCCTGGAACATGTGAGATATTCGATTTACAAGTCTTGGATGATTCCTGTGAATGAAAATTTCTGCCATTTATTTGCATCAAAGTGGTTTACATTCAACTACTACTGAAGAAAAAATATGCTGTGAAGGATGTGTGCTAAATAATAGTTATAGCCCAACTATTATTATAACCTGTCCTATAGGACAGACTGAGAGAGCTGAGGCTGTTCAGACTGGAGAAGAGGAGGCTCTGGGGAGACCTGATAGCGGCCTTTCGGTACCTAAAGGGGATCTCTAAGAGTGAAGGAGACAGACTCTTTAGCAGGGTCTCTGGTGATAGGACAAGGGAAAATGGTCTCAAAATAAAGAGGGAGATTTTGACTGAATATAGTTTTTATGATAAGAACAGTGAGGCACTGGCACAGGTTGCCCAGAGACAGGGGCGGGTGTCCCATCTCTGGAGACACCCAAGGTCAGGCTGGATGGGGCTCTGAGCACCTGATGGAACTGTAAGTGTTCCTACAGGGGAATTGGACTAGATGATATTTAAAGATCCCTTCAATTCTAAAGAGCCTATGATTCTATTCTTACCATATTGCATTATTAACAATGTTATCACAATGCTATTTTATTAAAATCAGTATATCAGTAGGATGACTATTATTCCCAACTTTAATTTTGTGGCACATCCTGTGAGTGGGCTTTCTGGCTTATAGGAAGCAGTAACAGTTTTATCAAAGAATTTTGTGTCACTTCATGGCTGTTATGTGAGCAGTTGCAGTAAATGTGTTGTAGGAGCATTCTAGCCTTTGGGATTCTGTGGTTTGTGCTGTGTATATTTGTCCTAAAACAGTCCTAAAGAACTTAGCAGTATGCTAAAATTTGTGAATTTGTATGTAGGGACATTATATGATTCTGAATATCCTAGTGAACTTTATCATAGTGGAATCTGAAGTTGCTTTTAGTGGGAAATTGGTCAAGATGACTTACAAAGGTCTATTTCAACTTAGATAATTCTATGATTTTTTTTTCATATAATGTGGTTGTCAGGGTGAAGAAATGAATTATTTCCTTATAAGCTGTGTGGGCTCTACCTTAGGATGTAGATTTGTGATATACAGGCAAGTATGATGAGACTAAGTGACCTGAGTTCCAAGTCTAACTTGGAACTACTGGCTAAGCAAGGTGAATTCACTCTTCCTTTTTTCATTCCTGGCTGATCATCCGTTTCTGCAGTTCCTTTTCTTGGTGTTTTCACAACCATTTCATCTGGCAAGATGGTTAGTTCAGTTCCCTTAGTATCGCAGTACTTCAGCAGATGTGTGTCAAAGCACACTGCAGAGTTCGGTTTAGCTGTGAGGAAAGCAACTGTACAAAACAAAGGGTCTTTTAGGAAAATAACTGAAAAGGATAAGGACGGTGGGTTTGGTGCATTTTGAGGTGACCCAGTGAATCCTGTATCCCTCACTGGTGAGTTTTATGTCTTTTCATGATTTTTTGTCCTTGTGGGTTGGGTCTAACTTTTCCACATTGACAAGACCTAGGCACAGGATTTTACTTGTCTGAGGTAGTCTGCAAATGAAAAGGAATTCAGTTTTATTTCCGTTCTAATTTGTGATATCCAAAAAGAAACAGTGTTCTCTTGAAAGGTGCTTATCTATAACGTTTAACTCAAAGAAGAGATCTTTGTGGATCGAGTGAACTTCTTTATGCTGTTCCAGTTCTTACTCTTAATTATTATCTCTACCATTTCATCTACTGAGCTAAGCATCTCTCCAAACCTGCATAAACAGAAATAACCTTTT